CACGCTTCTCTCAGCTGCTGCAGCCTCGGAGGAAACGTCAGCAACCTCCCTCTGCCCATCTCACTCCCGGCAGGCTCTGACCTGCCTAATTAACTCTGAACTCCGACCTGCCTAATTAACCCCCGGCACTTCCCCAGCGGCAGCAGTGGCCGCCCCTCCCCGCCCCCTCTGCCCCCCTTTTTTTTCCCCGGAGCCAGGATTCCTCCTCCCTGCTCAGAGACTGCAGTGCCCAAGACATTGCAAGGGAAGTCTAATTAAGCTGATGAATGCCCCGGAGGGTGCAGTTGGCTGGTCCAGCCCCGGAGCTGGCCGGTTTCCCACGGCTCTCGAGCCCCTTGCAGGCACCGGGGATGGATGGGCCAGCGAAGGGCTCTAGGGAATGTTCCAGCAAGCTGGATATGCAAGATAAAAGTTATCTGAGCGGATGTTTATGCTAATGAAAACTTGATGGGAGGAGCCGCTGTAACTGCCGGCTCTGCCTGGGGAGGCAAGAGAGATGCAGACAAGGGGGAGGCTGGGGGAGGCTTTGGGCCTCACGGGGTCCCTTCCTGGGGAGGGCCAGGGTTGGGCTCCAGCCGTTCACACTGACCTTAGGAAGGGCTCGTCTTCGTGACAAGGGCTGTGACTGTGTCTGGTGGAGACGAGTATTTTTATACCTTGCTTCCTCAGAGGTTGTCTCTTTGCGTTACTGCTGGAAGAGGATGGCTACAGAGGTATGAAAATAGCTGGAGGAAAGGAGGGGGCGGGTCACTCCCAATTTGCAGCTTTCCTTTCATGCTCCTCAGCTCAATTATCTAGCAAAGTGGCCACCATCAGGTGTGGGGCTGATCTGCTGGCGAGTGTGGGCAGCACGGCCGGGGAAGCTGCTGCAGCACTGGGGCACAGGAGCAGCCTGTGTCCTGCCTGCACGATGGTGGCAACAAACACAAATCCTTATCTGCCTGCCTTGTTCCAACAGGTCAGCCTTTTAAGCTGGACCCCAAGATGGCTCACAAGAAGTTGAAGATCTCCAACGACGGGCTGCAGATGGAGAAGGACGAGAGCTCCTTGAAGAAGAGCCACACGC